AGTGTTAGAACACTAAACTAAAAGACCTTTGATTCACTGAATTGAAAGAACAGCAGATTATCGGTCAAACATGCTGATGATGCATCAAACTGCACATTCTGTTTTCCCGACATTTCCCTACTGAGCTTTACACAACCAAAACAAATATTATCACCCACAGACAGTTAGAAGAGGACGGTGTTTCGGATGAACCTTGAGCTAAGGCACAGTAACGTAGTTTCAAAACCCAAAACTCTAAGGTGTTCAGAAAGCTGGATAGATATTTCCCGAAAAGCCTGAATCAAAATGGAAAATCCCAAAGCTTAAGAAATGGTAACCTAATCACCTCATCAGAGAAAAACTGTGGACTAATTACCTACACAGATGGAAACAAATATGAAATGAACAAAATGGACTTCGAAAGTTGCAGGAAGAAATCTACGACAGAGGAAACTGATAAATAAATTAAAAACCATACCATTTGGTCCAAGAGAAGTTCGAGTGATGGCTGATAACTGTTTGCAGGCATCAATGTTCTTAAGAACTGCTTCATCTAAGCCAGAGAGGTGCTTGTGCCCTTCTTTGAGCATGGCCTGAATCCCATAGGGTTGCATATGGAACCCCATTTTTTCTCTCAATATATTGAAACCCTAGTTTTTCACCTGCTCAAAACCCTATTCCTTTTCACAAATCAGAGCCTGAAACCCTAGTTTTCCTTTCCCGCCCAACGACAGGAAAGTGACGACCCTGGTGTGCCTCTTGTTGAAACCCTAATTTTGTAGCAGAGAGAAACTCAAGAGTCAAAATGATATATTTTGCTCTCTTTAAAAAGTTTGAGCACTTAAGAACACGCCTTTTGAGGGATTTCTCTGCAACTTCTTTTTTCCAACAAATTAAATGCTGAAGAGCACTCACGAGAAACTTGCATTAGAGTATTTGAAATGCGCTTCCTGATGTCCGGAATTAATATCGATATTGAGCTTGTAAAAGCATCATGGGTTCTTTTAGCGTGATCCAATGACCACATGAGATGTGTGCTCATGAGGCTTATCACCGTTAATTATGTGCGCTCATGAGGCTTGCCACCATTGATCAATGGATAATTTCTTTTCTAACAACCCTTCTCATAAAAACAAGTCCCGACCTCATTTCTTTGCCGAAGAAAGAATAAAAAAACATTATGTTCGAACACTTCCAAGTGTGGATCCAAGGGTATTTTAGTTAAGGGTGCGGAGCCTACCTTCAAATAATGTCGAGAAATATGGTTTCAATACTTATTTTTAATTTTCGGTATAAAATTTAGAGCTTCATAAATAGTGTAGATCGATCAGATCTATGAAAACTTCAAAATCTTAAAAATTGTAGGTCAAAAAATTAGTTACAAGATGCACTATTTCCAAAACTTGAAATCTTTTTTTTCTCATATCCATACGTCTTGATGTCGGGATGATGATATTTGAGCATCAAAGCAGCCTCTTCTGGCGAAAGTTTTGACGTCGCTTGTAATTTGATTGTTTAGAGCCTAGGCTCTATATAAACTTTTCTCTTTAGTTAAAATATGAATGCGGCAAATGATTAAACTTCGGTATAAAAATTGGAAAATACAATACTATTTTTTAATATTGCCAAATATATTATATTTATATAGAAATTACCCCAAAGCATAACTTCTTTTTTGATGTTTAACACATTAAGGGCCTGTCCGGATGTACTTGAACTGGTATTTTATTATTTCAATAAAATTATTTTTGATAATGAATTATCCTTTGTTTGGTAGTGTTCATCATAAAGTTATTCGAGATAAACTTATGGTCAATCCTATGTACTAGTTTGTATTTTAAAAAAACTTTTTTTATGTTAGAAAAATTGTTTCATGCGGCCTGCACCACATTTCTACATATGTGGTCTAGAAAGTGTAAAGCATATATCTTCATATGGATAAACACTAGAAACTAATGGTCCAAATATTTTCTTACTATAATTATTATTTATAGTTTTTAATTTTTATTTATTTTTTCATATTCATGATCTCAGCTAGTTCGGGAGGAGGGAGGCCTTGCTTAAGGGCTTCCTTCCTTTTTGACACTGAACTTTTGATATTTCGCTTGAAAGGCTAGCGGTAGGGGGGCTTTTAAGGGCTTTCTTCCCCTTTTACATTGAACATTTGATTTGTCTATTTTGCTTTAGATATACAATTTATGGGGAGCCTATAATGGGGCACATGAACTGCTTTACCAAGACTTGAACAGATGGCACAAGGGGTGTCTCTTTGGGGGGCTTACACCTAATATACCAGGCTTAGTAAATGGCTTTTTGTTGGCCATCCTGAAAGTCCAAACCTGTCGGCAATAGGACCCTTAGTAAAACGGTCTCTTTGGGGCTATTTGGTTAGAGTATCCCCTATTTGCAAAAAGGATAATACTTCAACTCTCACGGTATATAAAATGTCGTATAATATGGGTTAGTTTTTACGGTACTTTAAATACCGTAATGGTGTTTCACGGTAATACAACTACCATGAAGGTTATTTTAATAAAAAAAAACTAAAATTGAAGAAAAAATGTGTGGGTGAGGTTTATAGATGCTCGAAATTGAATAAAAAAGGGTATGGGTAAGGTTTATGAAAATTTATGGTTTTTTTTTCTAAATAGCCGAAAATTAATGTATATCTATGATAATTTCTCTTAAAAATATGATATATTTAAAATAAAATTAAATATCATCCAAACTAATATATGCTATGAATATGAAGTCGAAGGTCGCCCTCAAATGAAAGAAAGAAAGAAAGGAAATGCAATCAAACCATTACTAAGGCAATTTGGTCAGCCCTACCTAAAATAAGTTTTCTCTCCAAAGTCAAATTCATTGACGGATTTTGGATCTAAAATTTTGACGATTGAAAATCTAAACATCGACCAGTATGAATCTGCAAAAATATATATTTTAAAAGATAAAAATTGAATTTTTTATATAATTTTATCGACTTTGATTTCAAATTGTTGGTAGGGCCACCATTGTTTAACGTCCATCTAGAAGATGGATGTTTGGTGCGTTAGAAGACGCTGTTTTGAGAATGCGTCCCCTAATGCACGAATTACTTTTCCTAACCAATATATTGAGGAAGGTTGCTTCAATATTTAACTCCTCTCTTACCAAAAAACCCAGCAACCAAAAAACCTTCCTTTTTTTATTTTTCTTTTTTTTTTTGTTCCTTTCTAATGAGTAGACTCCATGAATTCCACAATCATGATTCAAGCCCAACAACTTATGGAGCCTCACAACTTATTCATAGCCCACTATCATCAAAGAGATATCGAGTTATGTTGGTATTTTTTGTTTTGAAAAATATCTGAGTGTATTTCAAAATAATGATATGTCAAAATAATGATTTGGTTTTGCGTAATTTTTTTTAATTTGTATTTTGTAGAGAGAGAAAGGTGTGGGTTTTTTAGTTTCACATTGAATACAAAAGTGTGGATAAAGTGGTATTTAATATAGGAAAAAATTTATATAAGGATGCAACCTTATAATGTAGAACTACAGATGCATCCCAAATATCTATTGGAAAATGTAGTTTTCATATTGAAAAACCCTTTGATTGATCATCTAGACATCAAGATGTATGGTCATAAAAAATAAAAATATTTGAAGTCTCATAAAGAGTACACTCTACAACATATTATCCACACTATCAATTTTCAAGATTTTCATATGTTTATAGATCTCTTGATTTTAACCATTTTTTAAATTTAAAATTTTATAACTATATATAAAAATAGATTTTGAGATAATCCTAAAAACATTTTATATCAAAATTATATAACATGATAAAATTTGAAGGTGCACCTTACCTCTACAGCTACGGATGCATCCATATGCCAATAGCACCCCTTAATATAAATGTGAGAGTGATGGTGCAATGGGCAAGCATGTGCGTGTGAGGCACACATCGATGCATTTTGTATGCTTGCATCCTCGCATGAGGTGCCTGAGCACATGTATGGGACTCGTTTTTAAATCCAGTTTGCTTTGGGATGCGTGTTAAAACTTCAAAAGTTAAAAGCTTCCATCTCCCAGAGCATACATGTCTTACCATTGGAGATGATTGCTTTGAAATCCAATCTCCCATAGCATATTTGTCTTACCATTGGAGATGATTGCTTTGAAGTCCAAGTTCGTCGTGAGGTTATTCTTGGTTGGGATTTTGGGGGTCGGCCTGGTAAGGTTAGGCAGCTACCGGAGAAGGTACAATCGTCGGCCAGCTTTTTGGATAGGGTCAAACCGAAGAGTTTTTTTGTCGAAAGTCTCATAAATTTGAATTTTTTTAAAAAAGTAACTCCCAAAACTTCGAAAAGATGGATTTATCTGGGTAAGTTTCCGGATTTTACTAAGGGGGTCTTTCAAATTATATTCGTAAACCCCCAATAATTGTTGAAGGGAGAGAATGGTGACATGAAGATTAACATGGAAGTAGGATTTTCGGAATCCATTGGGAAAGTTTCGAATGACTGGATTCTAGATGATTGTTCACGGGAATAGTTTGGTGGTCTCAAGACGGTGGTAGCTGGTGGTCGCACATGCTCATCATTTGCACTATGTAACGTTGGGGGAAAAAGTCTGGCTTTGGCGGCGTGTTTTGGTCCCGAAACTTGTATACATAGGAAAAGGCCGGCCTGTCAGTAGCCCCTCGTTGGGAAAGGTTTCCCCATACAAGTGGCAGGTTTCCCCCCTATTGTTATGTCTAGGGGAAAAAAAGTGTTAGCAGCGACTTGGCTTTCCCATCTCTGGTGGTCTCTTTGGTGTGTCTTCTTATTCACCTGAAAGAGGTGGGTCTAGCTTGGTGCCTGGTGCTTGTGTTTGCGGTCTTCAATTTGAAAATGTATATTGTGCTTTTTTGGTTGGCAGCTGCTAAGAGTTAGAAGAGGAAGAGTTGTACTCGTTTTGATCCCTTGTCGATCGCCCTTTGGTCATAGTGGTGGTTGATCCAAAGGAGCCACAATTACTCTTGGTGACTGAAGCTCTTGGTATCCAGGAGGTCTTACCTCCTTCCTTGGATAGGCCCCTGGAGGATTCACCTACAACTGTAGCAGCTATAGATGTCTCTTACTCACTAGACATGCCCCTGGTGGTCTCGCCTACGCCACTTCCTTTGGATGTTAATCCCCCTCCTACTGATGAGATTGTTGTGCCCGTTCAAGGCGCTGCTGACGACTCTTACTTGGTATAGAAGATGATGACGAATATGGGCATGGAGAATGTCCCGTTTGCGGTGGTGATGTAGGAGATTCGAAAGCGTCACCAAGCTAAGTGTGTGGTGAACGATAATGTGGAACTGAATGTGTCTGGTAATATTCCAAAAAAATCTTTGGCATATACCCCGACAGGCAAAGCACTAACTTTGGCTGAGAAAAATAAGATCTTTCATAGAGGTGTGCGGTCATCAGTGAGACTTAAGGCTCATGGAATTCCTAAAGGAGGCTTCTTGGTAGCTGGTATTGCTTTTCGTGTCCCGGAGGTGGTGGACTTCGACTCGTCTTCTTTTGCAAATGAAGAGAATTGGGAGTCCATGATGCAGGAAGGTGCTTACTTTGGGGGCGGTCCTTCTAGACCATATTCTTCTTCTTTTCATTCCTTTACTTTTTGATGAATATTCTGTCCTGGAATGTTAGGGGTTTGGGAGACCCTAGGCACAAAATGGATGTTTTATTTTTAGTTTCTAAGTTCAAACCTGCTATTTTAGCTTTACACGAGACCAAACTTTCTGGTCCTTCTTTTTTTATGGCTAGGGAAGTTTAGGGCTCAGGGGCTATCTATTTTTGTGGGATTGATGTTGTTGGTAACTCTGGTGGTATCTGGATTATTTGGGATCTTTTGGTGGTTAACAACATTGTATATGTTGTTAAAGTCAATTTCTTACTATTGGGTTCTGTTGGTCCTACTTTGGGTTTCTCTCGGG